GAAATATTTTTGAAAACATGTACAGAAGTTGGTACATCAAGTGCCCGTTTGGTAGTTATGATTTTTGGCTTTTCAGACTTATAAACCAATTTTTTCACCAAGCGCGTAACTTTTGGCTTTACAAGCTGAATTGCGTAATAAAAAAAAGTAAGGTTGAAGTTACTTTTCTGACTGTATTGGCTGAAGTTACTGTGGAGGGTCATTTTAGCTATTTTCATATATTTTTCTATATTTTATTAATAAAATGTATTTTAAATTATTATTTTTCACAAATCAGCAGAATCAGCCATTACAGCCACATCAGCCAGAATTTCATAAATTTCAACCGAATCAGCCAATAGAGCCAATTCGGCTATTACCAAACGGGCTCAAGTATTGTTGAAATATACTCCCTCCGTCCCCTTTTAAATGGGACGGGAGATGGTGGCACGGGTTTTAAGAAAAGTGAGTTTGTGTGGTTGATATTAATTGATAAAGTAAGAATAAAGTAAGAATGATTTTGAGCCACACAAAGTTTACCAAATAAGGTATGAGGCAATTAAATAGGGACATCCCAATATGGTAAAATGGGGCATTTAAAAGGGGGCGGAGGGAGTAATACTCAAGTATTGTTGAAATATAATACGAAGTATTGTTTAAATAGTTATCATATACGGAGTACTCCGTAGTTATGTAGAGGGTTAGTGATGACATGTCCCGATTTCCTAATTCTTGGTATAAGGTTATTAAGATCGTAATTTAAATGGTACTGTAAAATTGTAATGAATCCATCCGTGTCACATAAAAATTGGTAAAATCGCAAAAAATCATAGTACAGCAATACAGAATTGTAAAAAATCACATAAAATCATAACAGAATCGTAAATAAAATAAATTATCAACTTTAGTGATGATACTCTTACTGAACATGTTTGGAAAAACCGAGACATTGAGGTTGAAGTAAATAATTGCAACCTCGATACAAATAATGTCCTTTATGAAAGTGACGAGTTATTTGTTTCTACATGTGATTCTTTTGTTTATAACATGTTTGATACTTGTTGTTTACTTTATCAACTCTATGAGAATAGCATGTAAAGTTTGTTTATAATATTTTACGTATAGAATTAATTCACGATTAGTTCTACAAATGATCAAAGTATAGTACTCCGTATAACATAAAAATAAATATGTCAATTTAAGTTAAACATTAATTAACACTATATTTCTGAGTCTCTGACTTAAGAATAAAAAGTTCTTTACTCTAAAAAAAAGTTTTATATATATAGTGGGTTTTAGAATATCATATTTGTAGTGCGAAGTAAACTACCTTACAAAATTTTGGATTCGCTTAAACAATAAAAAAAAGATCAGATTAGTATTAGCATTTATAAATACAGAATGGCGATGCATGGTACGAGTACCAATTAGCTTAGTACTCAATTGGAATCTTAGCTTATACATATCAGAAATCGAGAACAAAAAAATTATATGCAGCGGGTCCATATACCAACTTAGCTCGTGGCCTTAATTGTTAACAAAAGTTTAAGCAAATAATATGATTGGGTATTAGACTGTACTAAACAAAACTAACTAATAATTGTGATACAGCACTACACAATAAATTAAACATCACTAATTTACGACTTCGAATTTGTGATGCTCAACAAAACAACACCAAATGTCTATATACCAATTATTATAATTGTGGTAGTGCTCTAAACAACACCCATTCATAATTGGGATTCTCATGTACGAAGTATATACAAGTAATACAACTCATATAGTCATATAGCTACGGCTCCATGTATCCCATAATTAAATTTATATTTTGCCTATTAACTTTGATCGTTCATTATATACTATGTATAGCCCAAAAAAATACGGAAAATATGTATAGTGTAATACAGATATTAGCGAAATGCTAAAAACATCATTTATGACTACGTGAAACTGGACAAACGTTGGAGAGATTGAAATTCTCGCTGGATGAAGTATATATGTTTGAATAATGTGTATCAAACTTCAACTCATTTTAAGTTGAAATGTTCATCCAAACATATTAATTGTAAACTTAATTTTGAGAGGGAAGATATATTTGAAATCATATAGGGCATATCATTTTAAGTTTCCTAAAGGAAAAATTGCACTTTTAGTGCTTGAAATAGTCACGAAAATGAAATGTCGGACCTGTATTCCCATGTTTGTAAATGTGGTCCCTCAATTGTCCTTAATGCTGAAAAATGTAGTACTCTTAAGGGTGAAATATACAAAGTGGGCGAGAGTACATTTCACGCCTTAAAGGGCCACATTTACAACAATTTAGAAAATTGAGGGGTGACATTTACAATATCATAAATACAGATCCGACATTTCATTTTTGTGACTATTTCAGGGACTAAAAATGCGATTTTCCCTTTCCTAAATGTCTTGATTCTACAGTATTTTCCTTATTACAATGGCTCATTTAAGGGAGACTTCCTTTAAAATGGCAAATTGTGAATTAAAGAAAGAAAACAATTTATATGTACGTTCATTATATTATACGTACGGAGAATAAAATTGATTTACATTTAGGAACATAATAGTTCATGTATCCTATAAGTTGGACATGGGCAAGTGTATTACTTACTAGTTAGCTTTACGCCGTATAATGATCATCTATCAATCTATCATAAATCATAATAGCATTGAATTGAACTACCTAATTGTGTCAATATAAATAATCCCAAATAGAACTTAATTAATCAAAAATGAACCCAAACCTTATATCGATACTAGATATATATTGCATTGTAGCGCCATTAAGTCTCGTGCAGTGTTAACCACAACCCTTAAGACAATGTTTAACGTTAAAAAGCAAGAAATTTAAGTTCCTCGATCATAATTGTTATACACTAGTTAAATGATCAAAGAATATTGATAGCTAGATTATATGGGCTCCCACGACCCACATACTCAAAAGTACACAAGCAGCCCAGAACATCTATAGTACTTATATGGCCGGACGAGGGTCAGCAACAATAGCAACAAGAGACTATAGAATCCGGTTACAAACACATTGGATACATATTGGTTGAGTAAAGGGTCATTTTAGTCCTCGAAGTTGCAAAAAAGGCGTCAAATAAGTCCTTATATAGAAGATTCTGTCCGGACGTGCCATTTGAGGTGGCTCCCGGTGGAATTGTGTGATAATTTTTTTTGAGCATCTTGTTCATTAAGTCTAGTTTACTCATACCAAATTTAAGCTAAAAATTCAATCGGGAAGACATTCAAATGAATTCTTGAAGATAACAACGTTTTTAACGGCACAGTTATCTTCAAGAATTCATTTGAATGTCTTCCCGATTGAATTTTTATCTGAAATTTGGTATGAGTAAACTAGACTTAATGAATAAGATGCTCAAAATATTTCATCAAAAAATTCCACCGGGAGCCACCTCAAATGGCACGTCCGGACAGAATCTTCTATATAAGGACTTATTTGACCCCTTTTTTGCAACTTCGAGGACCAAACTGACACTTATCCCCATATTGGTTTGTACGTATATATATATAGTCCCCTCGGCCTAAACACCTCGTTTGGGAGGAGCCCATGCGGAAACTCATTCAAGGCAAAAGAACAACAAGGGTGAGGGCATAAGCACCTCGTCCTATTGAAAACAACTACTCCCTCCGTCCCAATTTATTTTGCAAAGTCAACATTTTTTGGTCAACCAATAATAAAAGTCAACCTTCTTTATGCATAATTAATTCAATTTTTAATAAATAAAATTTACATATTCATAAACTACATCAAAATCTCTTCAAGGTTGTAAACTCCAAATTAGAATATAATTAAAAATTAGCATCCTAATTAAGTGAACAAAACGCAACAGTTTGACCAAGAAAAGTCAAATTTGCAAATCAATTCGGGACGGAGGTAGTACTTAGCAAATACTAGTAGTTAACAAGCGCCACACATCGCTCTCTGCTGCACAGCTGGGCTATCGCCTATAGGTTAGCATACACGTGTACGTTCATTTAATGCACTTAGCATTGATTACTAGTGTAAATACTTCGTTTGGGGCATATGTAAACAGTTCTCAACTCATTTATTATCATATTTTTCTATCTAACTCTTAGCTCTCAATTCTTTCTACAATACCCTTAACGGTTTATCGGTGAGCTATCAAATACTCCATATTATTGCTTTAATTTATCTCTCATAAGTCATAACCATTAGTGAAATCTATTACACACAAAATCCCCGTGAGTAAAAATGTTACTTATACGCAACAATAATTGTGTGATATTATTATCATAATAATTTTTGAAAAGGTTTAATTTGGGAGTTCAAAGTCTATATCTTAAGGAGTTTTGCTAGGGGTAAACAAAATGTGTACACATGTCTGTCCTTCACAGAAATGAGTTGTCTATGACAGACAAAATTTCTGTGGAGGACATACATGTGTACACATTTTGTTTACCTCAAGCATTTTTCTATCTTAAGAGGGCCGGGGTAGAATGAACTTGTAGCAACCAAACCCTTCGTGTGACCAGCTTTGCTGTTTTGCCTGGCCACCAAGAGGCGCAAAAAAGCTAGGATATGTATTGTTATAACTTAGATGGTAGGGAACCATAATAAATGTATACGAATAATTTGCCCCCACCATAGACAGATCTCATTCAATTGATTTGGCCCATATCATTGACTTGTAGAATTCATCAAAATGTGGGTAGGCATAAGATTAAATGACCACATTTACCCATTTTAAATGGCTTGTGTTCTACTCACATGCAATCATGTCGGACACTCCCATTGCATCCACCATGTGTGTTTAGATTTTATCTGTCCGCAAGAATCACGCTTTCACCATATATTCGTGTTATACGTGTGGGTCGATTTTGAATGTAAATATATAAATGAATAATAGTAATAATAATAATAAAGAATCATCCATTTGATATAATCTATAGGCATATACTCCATATAGACATATAGAAGATACTAAACTAAATCTCAAAGCTAGCATTAGAATGAATATTCTTTATTTACATTTGAGCAATGTGTGTATTTTACTAATATAATCTTCATGCTATAAGTAACAAAACAAATTACTCTACAATATTTGTTTAAGATATTTTATCTTCCGTAAATAATATGGTGATTCTTTCGTCGTCTAGATTTTGAAAGTTCATGACTTTCTCAAGAATAAAAAGGGCCAAAACAGCATAAAGTAAGTTCATAATGGTCCGTTGAAATGCAAGGACGCTAACCACCTGTACAACAACAATTAATAGGACTGCATCATCCAAAAGGTGGAATAGCCCAATACCCCAACCCGACAGGATGGTGAAGGAGTAAGTCATGGTGACTCAGTCAGCCGAATGGTGGTAGGCCTTATACCTGTGCGCATCAGAGGTCCAATCTAGCACGCAGGAGATGTACACATCATCAATATAGGGCAAAATTCTTTATGAGGGACCATTTTCTAGGGAGCTATTGTTTTAATTATTAGAGATTATAATCCTGAGCTAAACTAAAAGAATGTATTGGCACAAATCTTAGATCATAAAGAAGTGATCATATTTTATATCTCATTTATGTTCGGCTAGTTTATTAGTTATTGGGATTTCACACCCTTGGACTTTACGTGCATAACGATGTCATACTTGCATTTGGTACTCCGGAGAAGCAAATCTTATTTGACCTCTTTCCTCATTGGATATCGGATGGTTTTGAATCGGCCTCTATAGATCGACTTTCTCCGGAGACGAAAGAAAAAAATACACTTTGTTAGGGGTGATCTGTCTCCATTTTAAGTCAAAACTTCCTTTAGGATGGAAAACAAGTCTTATCAGTTCAGCTGTTGATAGAATGACTAGAATAAGGACAGCTTTCAAACGTGAAAGAGGTCAAGGGTCTTGAGAATGAGTTGAGTGTGAGCTTAAATCTGAGGAACATCCTGCCATATATTTTGCACGTACTACCTTAAACTACGTTCTGTTTACTAAACGAAGACAAGGAGCTATTTCCAAAATTTTAAAATGAGTCTATGACTTTAAGGGTGGTGGGCTTCTCAAGATTGGGACAATCTTTTTAGAAAAGAAAATAGCAGAATCAAAGATTTTGTTTTTGAAATACCACTAGAATCGAACACTCCGTACTCCGTACTGATTTTATCATGCATTGTTTGACATGAAAGCAAAAAAAGGACATATAATAGTAAAAATAACAATATTGTTGAACCCAAAAAATAACAATAATGTTACAAAACTAACTTCATCGGTAATTACCGTGGCAAGAGAACATGAGATGAATTACAGCAGAGCCTACTCCTGATAGACAGAATCTCTTGTGGAGCATAAATACTGCTGTGGAAATGAATGTTGGATTCTCATATGAACTTGCATTCATAATTAAAAAGATATATGTGGAATCCTCATTGTCTACGTGTGGACGTAGTGTTGCTCTCAGCCACGGTCCAATACTGCTTGACAGCAACTAGTATTTTCTCAGGAACGAGAGGACCGTCTTCGTGGTCTACCAATTTAAAGTCCCACCGCATGCCTCCGATTATCTTCTTCACTTTTACCAGAACATCTACTTCGTCCCTGATAATAACTGCCCCTTCTGGCCGTACAATCCTATCCATCTCCAACAGAATGTCTTCAAAATCACACCTGTGTATCATTTTCAGATATTTAATAAACCAGTGTTATAATATTTTTTAAAAGGCACAAAACGGCGTGCAGACTGGTCCCAAGATCATCACCGTTGAATAGTGTGATCATTTGTGTCTAAAGGAGAGGAATACTTACACATCTTTGTATAAGCTGAAGACTCCATTCGCATGAATGAGATCGTAAGTCCTCGGATACGTGGAGAAGGCTTCACACCTGAAGAAGTGTAAGACAACCACTTCAACAAAAAATCTAAGAAAGAAATACTACAACTGCCGCAAACAAAAGAGTCATCTTTTGATATCAAAGTAGAATTCTGATGTTATGACAAGAAACAGTGCTTATAAATCATTCATCTTGTATGTTTTTCGGTTTACATTAAAAATTAGCTTTGTTTGTTGAAACATAGAGCTAGAATGCAGCAGCCCAAGAAAATGGAAACATTTTAACTTCTCAAAAACAGGTAGGATAAATTTACACATTTATCACAACCCTTCAGATAAAGCTTCACTTTTGTTAAATTACATTTAGTTTACTACAAAGTACATCCAAAGTTTACTTTTGGACAAGTCCAAGTGTCCACCGCGTACATATAGTAATGTCTGTTGTTTAATATAGCTTAGACCAGCTTCAAAGAGTTGACCATAATCACAATGAATCTAATAAATCATGGCTAAATTAACAAATTTTAAAGGATTGGCCTTAATAGGAATGTATCATAAAGGATTGGCCATTTGGCCTTAACAGGAATGCATCATAAAGGATTGGCAAAATTGCAAAACTGAAACAAATCATAACGGGTTGGATTATTCTATCATGAACCTTATAATGACACGAATCACATGATGATCAACTGATTCAACTCAAAGAGACTTTAATTTATTGAAGGACAAATAGGAGAGGATCATACCAGTCATGGTAGATACCAATCATTCCACGTTCATATATAACACCCAAAGTGTTTTTCTCGGCTATAGTGGGCACGACATTCATAACCCACATCTTGGGAGATGTAAGCTCTGCACCAAATCCTCCCAATCCAGCATTCATATCCATTATATTACGATACCTTCCTGAATCTAGGATTTTGTTTATTCTTTTGTAAGCACTCACATGTTTCTTCCACCTTCTGTTGTCTTCTTTATATTCCTCCACTGACACTCCTGAAACCAGTCCACTAGCGATTCTTGGGGGAACTGAATTCAGTCTCTCAGGGAATGGCTTCAGCCTCTCGTCTATGTTAGCATCAGGTGATGGAGTAATGCATGTCTCCATCTTCTTGTACCTGTACAAGAACATAAATGTTAATGTTAATTCAATGAATTTACAATGCCTTCACCATTTACTTATCCTTCCCCTTTTCCCTTGGGAGGTGCTACAAATCAATCCAATGTTTGATCAAGTATTAGCTAGAAGATTATAACGCCATATTTGGTAAGCGGAAAAAATGAGAGGGGAAATGGTTTTTTAATCCCATGAAAAAGGATAAGTTTTTTTTAATTCCAGTGTTCGGAAGATAAGCGTGAAATCACAAGGAAAAGGAGAAATAATGAGATTAAGATCAAAATGCCATAGTACAATGACATAACTCCAAGGCCATAGGGTGATATTGTCCCATGGTATCCAAATTTTCTCTCCATATAATGTGCTTGCACACTGGATAGGAAAGTCATTCCCATCTATTTATTCCATTGTAACAAACGTTAATGGTATGTTTGAATCACGGAAAATGCTAAAGAAAGGGCAAGAATGCCTAGGAAGTTAATTTTATATGTTTGGCATTTTATTTTTATTTCTTAGTCATTGAATAATCGAAATATATAGATAAAAATGACTTTGAAAAATATTTAAATCAAATTTATAGCGATTGCGTCTATCCTTCAATTTCTCCCAAGTTTACTTTCCTTCCGGTTTTTCTTTCTATTTTCTCCCTTATCTCACCCCCCCCCCCCCCAGCATCTCACCCCGGAGTATAATTTTAAATTGAATCGGAAAGGGAAAAGTAGTTCCAGTGTACCAAATGGAGCAAAAGTTCCAGTGTCATACCATACATCATCTGGATTTGCAGATTTACAAAAAGTAGCTGTCAAGTCCTCTTGTGATGCACGGCACGATTCAGCATCCATCCTCTTCTGCCAAACTGCAATTTCACCCTTTTCAGACTTCTTCTCCCAGCATAGAAGTTTAGCAACATCTTCAATTTTCCTCTGTTCTTCTTCAAGTTCATCTTTAGGGCGTTGCCAAGCTCTGTAGTTAGCCTTCCAGTTGATAGGAGGCCCAGAAAGCACCCAGTAGCCTCCAGGTCTAAGAACTCTATCAACTTCCATCATTAATATTCCATCTGAGAGCAGGGAAGAGCAATAAAAAAGTCAAATTACCGCATACAATGAATATAAAATATGTTTTATGTACTTAAAGTAGAGCATTTTTCCTTAATTTTTTGAATATGTTCGGAAGCAGGAAAAAATGCTTACAGATAGTGTTTTTACTTTGGTTTTAGCATGGAAATTATGAGAGAACACCTGATTTGATTAGAACTTTTTTAAATGTCACATATCTTTAGGTTTATTTATCTATATGTAATAGGGATCTACAAACAAAATGAGTATGAACATAAATCCTAAAATGAATTACTGGGTTTGAACCATAAACAATTTCCCCTCAAATTTTCTATTTCCAAATTTCTCATCTAGTTTCCTCCCTGATTAATTTCCCTTGCATTTTCTGTACCCCCTGCTCCCTGCCCCTGTTTGGACCCCAAAATACTAGGAAATAAGAGGAACAATAAACTACAGAAAATCTAAAGGAATGAATATTTGGGGGAAATAAAGTCTAGGCTAAAACACAATGAACATTTTTAGAAATCCTGATACTGATTTATTTAATAATGTCTATCCTATAAAACTAAGCAACCTAAATAAATGCCAAAAATTTATCTATTTGTATTCACCTGGATTCAAATATAGACTTAAGGGATGTTTTGAAAAAAAGGAACATGGCTCAAACATGGAACTAAAATTGAAAATAGATAAGTCTTTATCTGCTTGTACGAAAGTTACCAGCAGCTCCCCATGGAATCAGACAACGAGAACAATGAGCCATATCAAATGCACGGGAGGGGTATGGCATCTTGATAGTCCCAAGCACACCAATTACAGCCGGGACACCCCTTTCAAGGGCAAACTGAACCTGAGCCTCGTGCGAGTCTCGAGGGGCAAATGACATTGCTATAACATTTTTCTTCCAGAGATAGGCACCCCAACTTGCAACCTATGTAAATATTTGAATCTCAAACGACTGGAGATGCTTAAAAAATATTAAACATAAAGTCTAGGGAGCTTTTTTGGACAATTTTAGCAACATGACATCTGTTGTGTGGCTTCAAAAGAAGAATGGGATCACCTGTTCGAAGAATAAGTAGTTTGCTGGGATGAGAGGTAATTTTACTTTAAAAAGAAACTTAGGGCATTACAGTAAAAAAGTGCTTTTAATTCTACAAAGCACTGTTTTGTGATAATCTAAGAAAGCGCCATATTGGAGCTTTAAAAGACACTTTTTTACTGTAATACTTAAAATGAAAAAATACTACTTGGAAAAGCACTTACAGCACCAGCCATCCCAAAAGGGCTCTCCACTTTGGAGTGGGGTACTAGTGCCCAGTGTTTTATTGATTAGTATGAGCACTTGAGTGAAAAAAGTAACCTCCCTTTAAAATGTTGAAGACAGATGTTATTGCCCAGAACTAATCAAATTATACAAGAAACATACCCCACAACCAGTGTCCAATGCAGTCCGAACAGTCCCGTTCTCAATCGGAATAACTGAAGCAAGCTGATCAATATACTTATCAGCTCCTTGAGGGAACTGGGTCCCACCTCCCGGGAATCTAAACACGTTTCCCTCATACTGAATCCAGTTTTGAATTGCCTTCTCAACAGTCAAGCTCTTGTAGGGTGCATTGGCATAAGGAACATAGTCACGACTCTTTGGCCACGGAAATGGAGTCACGTACCCTTCAGGTGCAGGAATAAGACAGTGCAGCTTCTCTTCTTGGGGAGGACAATGCCTCTCTCGGTATATCATGTTTTCCCTTGGGAAAGTCATGGCACGATTTTGATCTTGACATGGGGTGTAATCAGTGTAACGAGGATGACAAGGTTTGATTTCTTCCTTAGGCTTTGAGTCATCAACATTGCCTGGTTGACCTTCGTGATGGGTCTCAAAGTTGAGGTTAGTCAATGCATTGCAGTCAGTGGTGGACCTGGTCACCTCCTGGGCTATGCTATCTCCCTTACCAAACCCACTTCTTTGCCACACTCCAAGTAAATAGAAGAAACAACATAGACCAGCAACAATGAATATTGACACGGATCTTCTAGTCCGATTGTCCGCCAATGCTGATTTGCTTGCCATTATAATCCTGAAAGAGTTTCCTCATTTATTTAGCAAGTCAATATTAAGTACCCTACCACCACAATGGAAAAAATGACATTAAAGGAAATCTATGTACTAGGGAGCTATTGAATTAACAAAGACTATGCATACAACGCATTCCATGTGAAGTTAGCATAACTATTTCCCACTTCGACACACAAAATGCCATACATGTTCTCTGATAAAATAGTGTACCACAAGTCCAGCACAAGAATATCAAAAGAGAATACAGTGCTAACGAGCATTAAAGACTTAAGAGATCTATATGTACACAAGAGTCTCTCATCTACCATAAAATAAAAGCACTTGAAAACAAGTCTGGTGCAGTGGTGCCTCTATGCTTGATATTTCAAATTATGAATAGCATATTCCAGATTTCAACCTCAGCTTATGGCGCCATGAAAATGATCAATCAATAGTGAACAAAGGATCCAAATCCAAACTACAGCAGATCCCATCACTATGAGAACCATACAAAGGCCAGATCAAGGGAGATACGACTATTATATCCTCACTCGGGCACCAATCAGATAAACTACTTGTTGCTTTCCATATAAAACCCGGTAGAATAGATTATGTTAAGGAAACAATCACATGTGTATAATAAATGCGAAACTCCCAACCAGATTCAGACATAATATGAATTTCAGAGTGAGGAAACATTAAAGGGTCACTCTTTGGTATAGAGTACAACAAAGAAGAAGCAAAGAAAGACACACCACTTGAATTATACCAGTTAAGCAGAGTAGGAGGTTATCAAAGAACCAATCTTTATCGAAACCCACAACCCAATCTAAACATTTTCAATGACTAAAGCAAAGAATCAAGCATATCAGGTTAAAAAAGGCCAGATTCCGACGTTTGAGAAATAAAGTAATATGAATACAGGACCAAATCGCATACCAGTGGCGTGAACGGATCGAGGAAATGCTCTCCTCCTTCCCGCGTCTTCAAGTTTCACTTTTCTTCAATCAATAATGATTGATTGATTGGACAGGGGTCAAGAAAGGGAGTTCAGTGAATAAAAGGAGAAGTGAAAACTGCTCAGAATCTAATATCGATCATCAACATTAAGCTCGCGCTTTCACAGTCCTTTTGGCAGACGCAAACAATCCTGGATGCGGAGTACACTGGTGATTTACTTCCAGAGGGGTTCCCTAGTATCCCTTTCGATGGGAACGCGTCTGCGTATATGTAAACCACGTTATGGGGTTTCAATATTCCACCCAATCAGAAGTCAGCACGCGTGTCTTGTGGGTTGAGGGGCTCACAACAAGAATTGATACAGAAGCACATTTCGTCGGTGCTGTAACCTCAGTCCGACGTTGCCATACCGGTTTGTATCACTGATGAGTGTATTATTATCCGGAATACTCAACGTATTTTTTATTGGTGACAACTCCCATACCCATTTAAAAAATGGGGTATTGTACCTACCATGCATTTGATTGGTCCAAATCATTAAATCTCTTTTAATTAAGATTTAAATAATTCAACTGTATGATTCTGATTGGTCAATGTGGACAAAGGTACTGTAAGATTTAAATCTACCTTTTTTATTTCGTAGCCTATACCAATCTTAAGTTTTTCCACTCAATTAGTTGGATCTATTTCAATCCCAATTTAATAGGAATATGTTTGAACGTATCAGATTTTAACAGATCAAATAGGATTAAGAGATCAAATCATATTATATTAGATCAGACTTCAAAAATTATGAAATACACATAAATAAAATTTACCAGATTATTTCGGATTAGACTAGATTTAAATAGACTAGATTACATCAAGTCAGAAATAAATAAAAAAAAAACCTTTAAAAATCCCAAATTTTAAAAATAACTCTAATACAATGTAATAACTATCTTTAAAATCCCAACCTTTGAGAAAGATCTAAAAACCTTTTAGATCTAAAGTGACCATCTTTAATTTTATCGTATATATACACACTTCGTATAAAAACTATAATACAATGTAAGAATATTAATAACATACTAATAACATATTGTGCACAAATTAGTAGATATTTTGCATGTTTTATTTTGAATGCTCTTGGCTTTTTGCTTAGTCACATATTTTTAAGGAAGCTTGTTTTAGCTTTATGATATACTCAGGAGTGGATTCGGTCCGGGTCGGGTCCGGGCCGGGCCTAGGCCCGGGTGGGACGCCGGTTCTGAATAGTTGGGACTGGGACCGGCCCGGGTAGCTACCGGGCCGGGCGGGGCTTCGGGTCTCTTTATATATATATATATATATATATATATATATAGAGAGAGAGAGAGAGAGAGAGAGAGAGAATAATTCAGGTCCGGCCAGGCCGGACCACTGCCCCCGTCCGGCCTCCTCCATTTGGGGGCCTTCCCGATGGTATTTTTTGCTCAAATTTTTTGTGTAGGTTCCTCATCAAGTCTAGTTTGTCCATACCAAATTTCAGCCAAATATTCAATCGGGAAGGTCGTCAAATGATTTTTGCAAGTTAACTGGTCCGGAATATGTATTTTCCAGAACTACTCTATATATATATATATAGAGTACTCTTCCGGTCAGGAATTCCTGACCGGAACCGCCGTCCGGACGGCGGCGTTTGGCCGCCTTCCGGGTGGAATTTTTCAATGAAATTTTTATGACATGTTCTCCATCAAGTCTAGTTTATCTACAAAAAAATTCAGCCAAAAACTCATTCGGGAAGGTCATCAAATGATTTTTGCAATTTAACTGGTCCGGAAAATACATATTCCGAACCAGTTAACTTGCAAAAATCATTTGACGACCTTCCCGATTGAGTTTTTGGCTGAATTTTTTTGTGGATAAACTAGACTTGATGGAGAACATTCCATAAAAATTTCATCAAAAAATTCCACCGGGAAGGCGGCCAAACGCCGCCGTCCGGACGGCGGTTCCTGTCCGGAATTCCGGACATGAACTTTTGTCTATATATATATATATATATATATTTGAGAATATTACCCGAAATAGGACTAAAAAGGTTTGAAAATTCCAAAATAGGACTTCCATGTTTTTATTCTCAAAACAAGACTAATTACTCTCATGTTTTGGAAGCACTAAACTTCAAACATGGCAGTATTTTCTAAACTTGGCAGTAATTACTGCTATTTTGGGAATAAAAACATGGCAGTCTTATTTTGGGATTTTCAAACTTTTTCAGTCCTATTTCAGGAACTTTCCCGTTTTTTTTTTTTTGCTTTTTCTAAGTAACCCCCGACCCCCCCCCCCCCCCCGTCACCCCCACCCCACCCCCCAAACACCCAGCCCAACCCGTTGGAATAAAAAATGAAAATATAAAAAAAAAATTGATTTTGGCCCGAACCGGGCCCGGCCGGGTCAGGTCTCATTTTGGCATCACCATGCCCGGAACCGTCTCTCCCTCGGGCCGGGTCAAAGCCTGGTACCAGCACAGTAGCGGGCCGGGACAGTTCACGGGCCGGGTGGCCCGACTCGAGTCCACCACTAGATATACTTTTGTTGGATATTATTTTAGTGTATATTTACATTAGGTATATATCTTTGTACTTATTTTAGTGTATCTTTGTACCACTAAATACGTAGTAATTGGTATTTTGGTCAACTTTGTATTTAGGTCCGGAACCCTAGTGTGATATAAAGAACTGACTTCGTAAACCTAACTATGCAGAATGTCGATTCCATCCTTCGTTTCAGCGAGCTTGAGAGACGCAGCTTCACTGTAGCATATCGAATAATTCGATTTGTAACTTATTGTTTACCATTATCTTATTCAATTTTGCATTTATTTCTCTCCTATACTCTCTGTTATTCCATTCAATATTTGTTTGCCGTGTATACAAAATTCACATATTTTGATGTATTTATATTGACGCGTTTTTTTTTTTTTTTTACTCCAGGGGGGTCTGGGGGAGGGGGGCTGGGGGAGCCTGGAGTAATCAGGGCTGAAACTCAATCCATTGAGTTTCACACCCTTGTGTGTGCCTAGCGGGATTCGAACACGAGATCTCTCGCTAGGCACGGTAACCTTGCAACCAGCTAGGCTGGAGTGCTTGGTTATATTGACGCGTTAATTTTGGAGAAGTGGCTTGTAGATACATTTTTTATTTGTATGAAATCTGTGTCATGAAAATGGGGCAAATGAGACAAATTATACATTCAAATGTGACCTCTTATGTGTGCATTCAATTTTTACATTTAAATGTTTATGACTCTATATTATATTATTATAGTAACTATTAGTCATATTTTTATAAATAAGTTTTAAATACTTTGAACAATTTGATATTTAATCATTTTGACATTCTAATACGGAGTATTTGAATATATTCGAAAGACAAATCATTTTGTACACGGCTAGCTATTTTACATGTGTACATAAGCAATTTGTCTAAAAACGTAAAACTTTTTGGAAAATGAAAAGGATTATTTGTGTACATTTTCTTAAGAAAACGTAAAGAACAAAGAACAACTCATATTTAAATTACACAAACGAAACCAATATATATAAAATAATATTCTATTGTGAAACGAATATGAATATTGAACAACTTATTCCATTCAATTTTATGGCGTACCCTTAATTTTTTTTTTATATATATCTTTTTAATACAACTTAAATATGAAATACATTTTTCAAAAAATACTAATACAATAAATTCTAAGTTGTAAGTTGTAAGTTGTAAGTTTGTAACCATTAATTAATTAATTAGAGAAGTGCTACATATAAAAAAAGAATGTATATTTATTTGAAATACGAAATACAACTTTACAAATTACAATAGAGAATTGAAGGAAAAATTAAAACATGAAATACATTTTTATAATAAACTGTAAAATACTAATCAATCGGAATCTCCGGCATAGGAGCCACCCTCGTTTGTTGATTCATCCATAAATTCTTGGGAGGGGGTGATGCTAACTTCTTGACATCTACGTATGGTCTTCGACCAATCGTGATAGCATATAAGCGTCTCAAGAGACTCAGCGCTCAAACTCGTTCTAGATGCCGTTAGAACGTTGCCGACCGAACTAAATTCTTGTTCCACGGCAACTGTTGAAACCGGCATTGATAGCACTTGCTTAGCCATCTGTGCCAAAATCGGGAACATTCTTTCTTTTGACTTCCACCACTTTAGAACGTCAAACTCCTCATTTTCGTCAAATTCTACCTCATAATTTATATACAAAGAAATCTCATTAAGTGCGCTTTGTTCAGTAGTGTGAGTTGTTTTAGGTTTTTTCATAAGATTGCCAAAAGCAGATTTAAAAAGTGATTTTCCTTTAGATGAAGATGTGTGTGTCGGGGGAGGGGGCGCGTTGCCATATTGTGCACGAAACTCATTAAATAAGACATAAAATAAATTACTAACCTTGTTGTATTCAACTTGCGGATCTATGGCGTTATCATCATACATTGGAAATGGACCAAAAAAAGCATTATAATAGAACTTCAAACATTCTTCCAAATTACCAAGTCTATAACGAGGATAGAAAATAAATGCAATACTATAAATATGCGGAATATGTGCATAATATATATAAGTATATTACTATAAGATGAATAATACACTTATATATAATACTTTAATATATATAAGTAGATAATAGGTAGAGAATTAGTAATGGATGAGGTGTTGAGGAGTGTTAGTAATGGAAGTGTTAAGGGGTGTTAGTCTTAATACTTGTTTGGGAGAGAAATTTTGAAAAAAAATAGAGTGTTAGTAAGTGTATAAAAGTGTTAAGGGAAACCTTCCTAACACCTCAATATGTGACTTTTTCAACACTCCAAATTGGAGTGTATTGAAGTGTTGGACTAATCTTGCCCTTTCACGTTGTTCTATTGCCATCCCACAGCTTCCGTTTTTTCCCCACCCTGAATATTCATTCGATTCTTTTTCTCCATCTCCACCAAATTAGTTCTTGGTCTTATCTCACCTTCTCTGTAACTATATTATACCAAGTATATACGAACATTCTTTCATAGTTTCATGATGTACATATGAGAATATTGCAAACTAGATACTACATATTAATGTATATTGTATTTACCACAGGTCAGAGTGTGTTTTATATGCATCTATTCAAATCGCGTGTGGGAGTATAGTCCACCGGTGTACGGACCGTACGGCCGACTAGATACGCGGTCAAAGGAACTGAACACTGCCGAGAAAGAAAGAGCAAGTGCGTCGGGATTGGGATGTGAAAGAAGCAGAGTGTTGTTGATGGGCTTCAAGTCGGTTGCAGAATGGTAGTGTAGCGGCGGAAGGGAAACTGATACCAGATCTGTGAAAAATTATTGAACATTCGAAGCTTTGAACTGTAGCAGGTTTTAAAACAATATACGATCGTATCTAGGATTAAAACGAGGGCATTAAAATGAGGACATTATGGTCAATTTTACTTAAAACACTTCCGTTATTAACAATTCATTTTTTTAACTCTCACAAACAAGGTAAGTTTATGTCTAACACTTACACTTACTTTCCCTTCCGGACCATTGCCAACACTTACTAACACTGTTTGGCACTGTTTAGACACTGTTTGGCACTGTTTGGACACTGTTTGGCACTGTTTGGCACTGTTTTGTTTGTCAAAAAGGGAAATGTGCCTTTTATATTGGGACGGACCGAAAAGGAAAGTGTGCCTTTTATATTGGGACGGAGGGAGTATAATATATGTATGTAAAGTAGATAATTAATAATTTAATATATAAGTACATAACAATAAGTATAGATGATAAGTAGATATCAAAGTAAATATTAAGAAGATAATAAATATATATTAAGTAGATAATAAATATTAGTAATATAATATAGGTATATAAGTCGATAATTAATATATAAGTAGATATAATAATTATATAAATCTCTAAAATATTATAAACACCAATGAGGGTTAGGGTATATTTGGTATATAAAATGTGTTGGTGTAACACAAAGCTACATGCTCTTGTACATTATGCTTCCATCATTATACCACATATTTGTATTTATGTATTCGTCTGTTACTTCCGTTAAAAACCAAGCTCTTAGCCGTCTCTTCCTTGACTTCACGTTGATACTGCCGTCTTAGAGTATTTGATTTATTTTTCTCATTAAATAGTTTCATTTAATTTAATTTGGCCTATTAAATTTTTGTGGTGCCCATCTCAATTGAAACGGACAAACGGTTGTAGCCTAGATCTCAATTGCAAGAACGTTGTTGAAGACTAACGTTCTCCCTCACTCTCTTTGGTCTCTTTGGTGTAAGAAGGTATGTAAAATGTCAAATATAAACAATTTCTATTATTATTATTAATATATTATTATTATTACTATTATTATTATTATTATTATTATTTATTACTATTACTATTATTATTATTGTTATTACTATTATTTTTATTTTATCACATGGATTTTTTATAAATAGTATGTGCCATTGTTTTTGTGCTTTTCAAACTTAGTTGGCTAAAGTTACTCTAGATGATTATGTTTGCTATTTTCGTATGCTTTTTTATTTATTTTATTAATAAAATATGCTTTGAATTTAAATTTTTCATAAATCAACATAATCAGTCAATCAGCCACTTCAGACCGAACTTAGTAAATTTCAACAGAATCAACCAACTCAGACAATTTTAGTGTTACCAAACAGGTTCTTAATCGATATTATTTCTACCTTCAAAGAATCACCCTAAAATCGAAACAAAATGGATGCATTCCTTGTCAAAGTAAGAACTCTTAAATATTTGATTAAACATCGTAGATAAATGTGGTGGATTTGTGAAAAAACACAATTTCGCAAATTAAAAAAGGAAAAAATGTATTCAGCGACCACGAGAAGAAAGTGAAAAAAGAAGAGAGGAGGGTGACTTTTGCTACCAAGAAAGATGAGAAGGGTATTCATTTTACTTTCCATCTTTGTCCACTTTATGTTTTCATTTATATTTATTAAATATTATGAAATATTTATTATAGACATTGGTGTTTATAAATATTTATAACACTCAATGGTGTTTATAAATATTTATTAATAATTGTGCCAGACAAAAATAAAAATCATGAAATTGAATAGAGGTAGTACTATTTACCGATAAATATTTGATAAATAGAATAGCTAAAAAAAATTGGATCGAGGTAGTACTGAAATATGGGCTCATCGTATTTTGATGAGTAATATTGCACATTAGAAGTGGCAAGACTGCCCGCAATGTAAAATAAAACAATGCATATTTAAAGTTTAACTACAAATATTTGTTACTGAAGATTTGTAACTGATAGTTTATTGATCTTCTTGATCAATCCTACGTCCAAACAATTGATGGTGATTTGTAAAGTTGTTTTAAAAGAAGCAAACATATAAAATGCAAGAATTAATACTCAATAAGTCACTATTTTCTCTGGAACAGTAAAAAATACTTATCTTGCATATTAGTGAATCTTATATCTATGTTGTTCTTCGTTTACAATACCTTTCATATTATATCTCATGTATTATCACGTGAAGGCCCCATTTTAGATCGCATAAGAACCACCAATAATTTGATATTTACTAGATATTTCTCATTATGCTAATCATGTTTTTTATGAAACTATGAAAATAGGGTCTAGCCCATATGAGGCTTTGCATTTCTTTTTATTTCATTTTTGGGTCCTCTTTAGTGTGAAGGAACATTCAATACTCTATTTTAAAGTTGATACAATTGCTAACAGGTCAGGTACAAAAATTAATTATATATATATTAAATCAACATACAATATATATTTCTCACTAAAAACTAAAAGGAACATTGGGCATTTTATTCAATCGCGCAACGCGCGTGTTGAAAACTAGTAATATATATGTAGAGAGATTTGGAGAAGATGAAGATGGAGATGATTAAGATTTAAGAGTATGAGGGAATAGAGAATTAGAGAGTAGGAAGAGTTGGAGAAGAGGTGTAAAAAATGTATAGAAAATAGAAGTATAAATAGGTTTTTTTTTATCCCCCCACCCCCAAAACCCCTAGACCCCCCCTTCCACCCCCTCCAACGGCTATAGAGCCGTTTGGGTGGTCTTCCAACGGCTACATGCCTCCCAAATTTTTAAAACAAATTTTTTTTTAAAGAGCCGTTAGGCCCGAACCCGGCGGGGCCGGTTCGCCATATATAGGGCCCGAGCCCGCACCACTACTCCACCGGGCCGGGTCGACCCCCCGACCGGTTCCCAGGCCGGGCCGGTTCAAACAGTAACCGGGCCGGGCGGTTCCGGGGCGGGCCGTCCGGCCCGAGTCCAGACCTAGTATGAGGTATCATAGCTTGTCCACATGTATCAATTAAAATATTGCAATTGAATAATATCTACAAATAAATGATTAAATAATAATTTGGACCAATCTAATGTAGATGAGTAAGATAGGCTCGTTTTTTTTGTTAGATACCATAGCAATCACCGGTATGCCTGGACTCGGGCCGGTTCGGGCCTGGGCCCGGCCGGGCCTCGGGCCAGGAAAGGGAGGCCCGGGCCCGAACCGCCGGTGGCCGGTTCCGGGCCAAACCGGGCCGGGCCGGGCCGAACCGGCCCAATAATTTTTTTTTTTTGTTCTCCTATTTAATCCCCTACCCCTCCCCCTCAACCCCAAACCATCCCAAACAACCTCAAATGGCCCAAAATACCTAATCCAACCTAAAACTTAAAAAAATTTCAAAAAATAAAATAAAATAAAATAAAATCCGGCCCGGGCCCGAACCGGCCGAGCCGGTTCACCAAAACCTGGGCCCGGGCCCGAACCGCCCAGCAGCCGGGCCGGGCCGAACCGAACCGAGGGACCCACCGGGCCCCGGGCCGGGCCGGGCCAAACAGTAACCGGGCCGGGCCGGTTCCGGGCCGGGCCGCCCGGCCCGAGTCCAGCACTAATCACCGGGTAATTCACCTCTAACAAATCCATTTTCCTACTTTCTATAACCTAGCAAGGCTAGCAGCCTTCGCCCTTCAGTTGCGACTTGCGAACAATGAGATATGACGATCCGGTAAAGGGCCTTTGACAGTTTGACTAGTAAACTAGTAAAGTAACGATCCAAATTCTGAACCGTTAAAGGAGCTTTGAGTAGTATCTCCATTGATTTAACATTTGTAAATGAAATCAGGTAATTGGTCATTGGATAAATAAAACATTGTTTTTTTTGTTGATAAACATTGTTAATCAATGGTTGACTGCTGAAAATGTGTTAGATCACAATCATATTCATATTCCAGAATAAAGAAATTTGTATACAAAACCCATACACAAATTCACAAGAGCTGTTCTTTAATATCCAATTCATTGTTGTCACAACAATGTTGGTTATTTTCAATTTTCATAATGAGATGCGTAATTTGTAATGACCGTCCTGTTTCTAATAAATTTATCAATATGATGGTAAAAAAAATTATCGATATTAATAATTAAATATGCTTGTTTTAATAAAGACTGGGAAGTAAACTGCAACTTTAACAAACCGAAGGAAAACATATCAAATCTCTCAATAGTGAGTGAACAAAGCCAAATATTCAAAACCCCGTAGAGTACATCATGTCATGATTCTTTTACCAGTATCCAAAACTTCTACACCAAAACACAAGACTTAAATTCGTGAGGTGTATTTCTCAGCTCTTTGCAGCCTGCTTTTCCTTGATTTTCTGAATCTTCAGCACTTTTTTCACAATCTTCTGCTCTTCCACCAAGAATGCTCTAATAATCCTACACACACCAGCAATGAAAACTATTGTGAGATTACAATGTTAAACCATCAACAAGATTTATGTTTGGGGTGGACAGGTTAAAGTTTGCTTTGGCAAAACCAAAGTAATGCCAACTGAAAACAAACCATATGCAATCCGATTTTAGTTTTGTAATATTTTCAATTTACTAAATCTGGGCAAAGTAGCAACCATAGTACAAGATACAGTAAAAACATTCTAAAAGAATTTTTGACAAAATTACCTTTCCCGGACAGCACTGCCTGATAGGACTCCACCATAAGCACGGTTAACAGTTCTTCTGTTCCTGGATAATCTAGACCTCTTGTACTCAGCAGGCCTCAAGTGGGGAATCTGAGATTAAGATGATCATCAAATGAGTTACAGTACTCCAAATTAGTTTAACAGATAACAAATACAGATGATACAACGATCCACATTATAAGAGCAAAATGTAACTACGTTATCTACCAATGAATTTCTAAAGCATTACTGGTATATTCAGGTAATCGGCAAGATAAACAGAATAATTCAAATTAAGTAGCTTTCAACTTGTTTGGTTGGAACTCAAAAAATTCAACCATTTGAACTCAAAAGGTAAACGAGACATCAAACATAATTGTAATATATACTTATAGTTTAAAATGACCTTAATACTCAGGTACAAAGAGCTACTAAAATAAATTGATGACCATGGGAGCATGTTCATCTTCAAAGTATTTTTTGTGTTCCAATATTTTACTGTGAGAGCTTCCCTCGTTCATATTACACAACAATATAACTTTACATATTTAGCTCATGATGCTATTTAAAATTTGTAGTTTGAATGTTCTTAATACTTATATGAGATGGACATTGACCTCTTGTTTTAAATTACTTAACTCTGATTTGAATTACAAGTATACAGATGATCATCAATTTTAATAAATTATTCCATCATATTTAAATATTATATATGTTGCAACAAGTCACTTAGTTGTCACCTAAGGGAGAGCCTAGTCACCTAGGCAAAATGGCAGTTGCCTAGCACCGCACCTTTCCACTATGATGTTAACTCATTGTGGCATATCATCAAAGACTCAAAGGATTGCGCAAACCAATTCAATTAACTAGGTCTAACGGCCTTTGATTTAATAAAAAATATTAGCAAAAGATGTATGAATGGATTATAAGCATCACACCCCATATGATGTTTTTCGTAGAAGAGGTGCCATAGGGGCAATCCAGCATATCACTTAGGGCACTGATGAATTTGTTTAGACTAGCAAAAGACAGCTGTCAACACTACTTTAATAGTGATTAGAATTTTAAAAGTAGAATAATCACAAATAAGGACAGGGTTAGATGGACTAACGGTATATTCATCTTCTAAGCAGTAAGTACTATCTAAAACGATATTCAACTTCTTCAATAATCAATATCCATTGAGTTGTATGTCAATTAACAAGCTTTTAATTATATAAAAAGATTAAACCAAGAATTATCCAACATTTTCCATAGATAAGAAGCCCACATCATGCTTATCATCAGCACATATATCAGATATATGATAAATCTGATCCACTAATTATTATGAAGAAAATGTATGCATACCCCTTGGATCCGCTTTCCCGTTACAGGACACTTGGGTCCACTAGCCCTCTTCTTTGTGGATTGAAACACTAGCTTCCCACCTATTCACAAAATTTACTAACATAGTTAATCAAATAATCATCGCAAATAAACCAAAATCATCATAATTGCGACAATAAAAAAAGTAGATACGTTATGAAAAGCAATTCCCAGAAACTGCAACTTTAACAGCTGAATAGTAATCCGTAAGAACTTCGAATGAGAAGGGGACATACCAGGTGTTTTGACAACACGGTTTTGGTTTGATTTCGTGGCATAGGAATGGCGTGAGCGGTATACGAGCCGCTGCACCATTTTTCCCTGTCTGTCTTGACGGCCTGAGCTGCAACGGAGAGATGAAGGGTTTCAAAATTTTGTTGTGATTGTGTTTATATAACTTGGTTCGCGAAGTACGTTACCCTAGATTGGACGGCTGAGATTACAAATGAATGCTGGATTGACTTTTAGTCTTTTGGGCTATTATTGCAGAACAATGTAATGGGCTTTATGAACCCTATGTGTCATTTAGTTTTGAGTTTTTTCCACTTTTAGTCCTTCGATTATTATGTCACTGACACTTTTGATACTCGACTTTGATTTTTTTCACTTTTAGTCCTCAACTATTATACTAGAGACACTTTTGGTACACATCTTTAAAAATTTCCATTTATAGTCTTTCGACTTACATAAAAGTGACACTTTTGGTCCTCCAACTATTATAATAGTGACATTTTTAGTCTGTCACTTATTGTGTCAAAATCATAGTAGAAGGACTAAAAGTGTCAATTTGATAATATCAAAGGACTAAATGTGGAACACTTTGAAGTCGAGGACTAAAAGTGTCTCTAACACAATAGTTGAGGACTAAAAATGGAAAAATTAAAAGTCGAGTACCAAAAGTGTCATAGACACAATAGTCGAGGGACCGAAAATGGGAAAAAATCTTTAGTTTTTGTCAAAGCCTATTTGGCTATTTGTATAGGGGTAATTCGAGTAAAGGGTCAGTTTGGTCCTCGAAGTTGCAAAAAAGGGGGTCCAATAAGTCCTTATATAGAAGATTCTGTCCGGACGTGCCATTTGAGGTGGCTCCCGGTAAATTTTTTTGATGAAATTTTTTGAGCATCTTATTCATTAAGTCTAGTTTATTCATACCAAATTTCAGCTAAAAATTTAATCGGGGAGACATTCAAATGAATTATTGAAGATAACTGCGCTTTTAACGGCACAATTATCTTCAAGAATTCATTTGAATGTCTTCCCGATTGAATTTTTATCTGAAATTTGGTATGAGTAAACTAGACTTAATGAATAAGATGATCAAAAAATTTAATCAAAAAATTCCACCGGGAGCCACCTCAAATGGCACGTCCGGAAAGAATTTTCTATATAATGACTTATTTGACCCCTTTTTTGCAACTTCGAGGACCAAACTGACCCTTATCCCGGGGTAATTCTATTCGCAGCCTCCGAATTGCTATTCACAGCCACATAATTAAATAAAAAATAATTCAAATAATTCAAATATCTAAAATACCTTTGTTTGCACTGTCGATTACGAGAAAGGCAGAAACAACAGAACTGGAAAACACAATTACGCCAAAAACTCAAGAAAGGTGGATCACAGAAACCTTGGAGTTGCAAAATCCGAGGAACGCAATGCAAGAGCCATAACCATCACAACCTAGACACTCACGTACATCCAACAATTGCGTTAGCAATTTTTCAATTACAGACCTTGGAGGCTTGGATTTTTCCCCAGCTTATCCACTACATTTTCTAATTTCTAATAAATACACTGAAATTCAATCCAAATTTACTCTCACAAAACAAAATTTCAAATGAGGATCGATCTTGAAGTCTTGAACTAAATGAATCTGGAATCATGCGCTGTTTACTGATGTCGACATCCTGAGTTGACAGGGGAAATGGAACCACTACAAAAAAGTGCACATAGACTGCACATGGACCACAATTTTTTTTGCGATGGCAGAATAACTGTCGTTAAAAACACCATTAATCACACATTTTTTATTTACCACACATAAAAATGTGGTAAAAGCTTAGAGACGACAGTTTTTAACCGTGGCCAATGTTTTTATCACAGCTGTTGTGCCGACGCACGTAAAACTGTCGCAAAACTGTCGTAAAAACATAAGGAGGAACATTTACGACAGTTTTGCGTCAGTTTTACGTGCGTCACCACAACAACCGTGGTAAAAACATTGGCCACGGTTGAAAACTGTCGTCTCTGACCTTTTACCACAGTTTTGTATGTGGTAAATAAAAAAATGTGTGATTAATAGTGTTTTTAACGACAGTTATGCGGCCATCGCAAAAAAAATTGGTCTATGTGCGGTCTACGTGCACTTTTCTTGTAGTGAACTCAGAATGTATGGTCGGACTTGCCTTTGTAGAAAGATAAAATTGAGGAAATTTAGGTGAAGGAAAAGGAAATTTAGGTGAGGGGGGAGCAAGCCTTCGTAGCTCCGTGGTTTGCTACTTTGCTTCCTTTGTTCATCTTCTTCCACACTTCAGAAATTGTTTGTACTCGAGTGTTTGTTTTATAATGAGGCTATAATAGGTATTATGAATTTTTTTTATATTTTTTACGGATGATGTGTGTGTACTTAGGAATTAGGGGGCTGCATATAGAATTCCCCTTTGTATAAGGGTAGACTTGTTTTGGCATCCCAACAAACCACGTTGCCACAATTTTGACTTAACAAAATGAAAATATGCCTAAGATAGAATTACGAAATTTAAGTGTTTGAAAAGTGCAAAAAGTGTTTCTTGTTTCTTGATAGAAAATGTTTATATTAGAATTCGCACATAATCATCACGACAATACCCCCAATCCGGTCACAAGCTTAGGGTTAGACATAGAAACACCCGTCTTTAAATAAGTACAATGACTCGCTAATCACAAAGCATGCAACATTAAACATATAGCGACCAAATTATTGTCACGGTCACCTAACCCATCTATCTTATACCTAAATGAAAAGAAAAAAAATGCAAAGACAAACAAGGAATCTTCAATTTACCCAGAGGGGCTGTCAACTAGACCCCACCTCACCCCTATTTTGTCTACCATTTGTCTCCAATTCCATCATTATCTGCCCTTCCGCTATCTCACCCCCCTCCACCCGACGACACACCTACATAAATGAAAGTTCCAGAACCTAGTCTCAGAAGCTAACTCACCTATATCCACTCAGTCTTTCCCAAATTTGAGGGACTCCCATATTTGAGTCATTTTTAATCATATGTTTGCTCCCTTTGAGAACTAACCACTTGTGCCCTCACTAACACTGCTTCGGTCATTGATTTATACTCTCAGCCACAAGTCATAAGGCCTGCTTTTCGTGAGCATGACTATCCAAGGTTTAGAGGGAAAAATCTATCTGCATGACCAATGTCACCACAAGCAAAACAAAAATTAGAAAGTTGTTCATATCTAAAGTCGATCCACCACCAATCCCCATCCTCCTTTAAATCTCCATACTCTTCTTAAGGGGTTTCCTAATATCAAGACAAGCTTGAATTCTCGAGTAATCCCTCCATAATCCCTCAAACTTGTTTTCATCTAACTTCATAAATTCACCTCAAGAATTCCCAATTCCCTTTGCCACCTTTAATGTCCGAAAATCTTCTCACAAATTATGCGATTTTTACCGAAATTAGACCATATTCATGCAATACCACAATATTCTAATCATATCACTAAGGACCATATTCAAGCTAACGACACATATCAATTTCGTGATAAATATAAAACATGTACCGTTTATCGTCGATCTTCATTATATAAAAAAATTTGCTATGTCTCTTAATAGAGGCCAACACATCCCGGAACACCATAAATTTCACTGATTTTTCAGTTGTTATGATGCATACCAATGACCATGCGGGCAGACCACCACCGTTCATCTTCCTCACTTGCACTTGAGAGGATCAGCTCGTCCACATCATATCCCAATTCTAGGCATCTGTATTTTATGCCAAGTCGTGCTGGTTATCCATCTGACCTTTGATGCCTCAAGTTTCCTTTCGTCGTATGTTCTCACAGCCTCCCAAAACTTGTTCAAATCCTATGCTACAACAGAACGGCCAACGTTTGCGTTCACACACAATAGTGTGAACAGAAAATGAAATCGACCGTGATGTTGCTCCAAGTGCTTTTCAATCTTTGATATTTAAGAATAAGACATGCGGATATATCTATTTTACCTTTCATATTTAAAATATTAATGCATTCCCTCCCTTCCACCATTCCCCATTATGTATGCATATTTTACATAAATATTATTTTTGTTTGCACTTAAAAGAGTCAATTCTGATAATTCCGAGTTGGTAAATCTATCATAATTGTGTAATAATTATGTTCTGGTCATATTTTTTACCGTGAAAGTTTTAGAAACCCTTGTTTTGATAAATTTAATAATTGGTTGATAAATGTGTAAAAGATTTGTTGAGACAAAAATATACATATGGGCTGATGGAGTATATGGCCCAGGAACCCCCGGCCCATAGACTCCCACTTCTCCTACACAAGTCCATTGAGCCCAGAGGACATCTCAGGCCCACATACAACGGCCCAAGCTTCAAAGTAGCCCAGAATACACACTGGGGTGCCTTCGGCCTCCTTGGCCGAAGGCTTCAAAACTCGCAGGATAGCCTTTTCTGACATAAGAAGCTGCTGGGAGAAACCGGGGCGGAGACATGAGCCTTCGGCATTCTCATGCCCTCAGCAACAGGGGAAGCCTTCGGCTGAACCAAGCCTTCGGCTACACGAGGAGCCCCCGGCTACACAAGGAGCCCTCGGCTACACAATGAGCCCTCGGCTACACAGGGAGCCCTCGGCTACACGAGGAGCCTTCGGCTGAACAAACTCAATCATCGAAGATTCCTTTTAGAGACAGCCAACCACCGCATTTAATGCCACGTCGCATCCGCCAACCGCATTCAATGCGGTTGACGTACCACTGCCGGTGCCACTAGGCTGATGTGACCCTTCGGCCGTTGGATTACTGACACGTGTCCCCTCATCGCATTTATTGCTGCTATAAATAGCAGCCCATTTCTCCTTGTAATCGACACGATCTACATCTCAACTCCACGCTGAGTTCATTTAATAAATCGACTCTCTCTCCTCCTATTTTGCTCTGACTTCTCTCTATTTATTCCCGCAATAACCCCTCGGATAAGATACCCCCCGGGTAGACTATCCATCATTTGGTGCTCTCGTTGAGAGGTCTGAACTATCAAGTAAGAAACCCTCCCCCTCTACCAAACACTAAACACTCACCAAAAATGGGGAGAACCACCCGTGCCCAGTCCAAG